TCTCCCTAGCCCCTAGCCTTGTCGGAGAATCGTTCTCGGAGGACAAGGCTTTTAGACCCTTGACCTGCCTTGGTTGAAAAAAGCACTGACCCTAGCCCCCAGCCGTGAAGTTGGAAAACTCAATTTCCGATTACACGGCTTGGTTAATACGCATGGCGAGAACTCTTACATGACCAGGTCATACATGGTCGTTTGTCTCTACATGATCCGACAAGGCCTTATCCGCTCTGGGCGTCCCTAGCTGAAGTTCCCTTAGGTTCCTCAGAGGCCTTGCCAGGACGGCGTAAAGGGACATGAGGATAGGTTTCAACTCTAGGTGTCGTCGTGGTAAGGGATCGTCGGGAAGGAACACTCTGACAATATTCTTAACCTGAAATCAACTTTATTGAAATCGTAATATGACTTACAAATTTTGAGACTATTGATTTGTAAATAAAATTTACGTAATTGATCAATGTTCCAGGAATTTACTAACTCGCGACCATCGCCGTCTGCAATCTTGAATGCACCTGGCTGCAAGACTTGCGTGATTGTGTATGGTCCTTCCCACTTGGGTGAGAGCTTGTTGCGCCCTACTTGACTTTGAACCCGTCGGAGGACGTAATCGCAGATCGAAAGTGTGCGTGCTCTGATGTGCTTCTCGTGGTATCGGCGAAGGGCCTGATGGTAGCTGGCTGCTCTAACGGCAACTCTTTCTCGATGTTCCTCGAGTAGATTCACATCGTCGCTTCGCTGCTCCTGTTCCTCGTCGGAGTACTTATGTACTCGTGTGCTCTGATGTTGTAGCTCCGTGGGGAGCATGGCCTCTAAGCCATACACGAGGAAGAAGGGTGTCTCCTTATTGGATGTTGTCGGTGTGGTACGCACGGCCCATAGAACAGAGGGGAGTTCTTCGACCCACTTCTTGTCGTGTGACATGAGTCTGTCGTAGACACGGGTCTTGATCCTGTGTAGTACTCTTCCGTTTGCCCTTTCGACCTATCCATTGCTCTGAGGGTGAGAAACCGAGGCAAAGCAAATCTTGACTCCCAATCCAATGCAGTAATCCTGGAATTCGGCACTGATGAACTGGGAGCTGTTGTTTGTTATGATGAGGTGAGGCAATCTATATCTGCAGAACATCCCTTTGATAAACTTGATGGCATTGTCGGCCTTAATTTCCCCTGTGGGCGTCGCTTCAATCCACTTAGTGAACTTGTCGATCGCCACGAATAGGAACTTGTAGCCACCCTGTCCTCGTGGGAATGGTCCGAGTATATCGAGCCCTCAGCACGAGAACGGCCAAGTGAGAGGGATAGTCTGGAGCGCTTGCGCTGGAATTTTGTGTGTTTGCTGTGAAATTGATAGGCTTCACACCGCTGCACCATATCGCAGGCATCTTTGAGTGTTGTCGGCCAGAAAAACCCTTGTCGAAAAGCTTTTCCTACCAGCGTCCATCCGCCGGCGTGTGACCCACAGATCTCTTCGTGTATGTTCAGGAGGAGATGTTTGCCGTCATTGGACGAGATGCATTTGAGAAGTACTCCGTTTGGCGCCTTTTTGTACAGATCATTGCCGATCATACAATAGATCTTGGCTTGTCGGGTTATCTTCTCAGCTTCTGTGTCGTCCTCGGAAGTTGTCCTTGTCGGCTCGTGCTTTTTGTCGGAAGGACAAGATTTGACCGCACTAGGATCCTTCTCAGGCTCAGATGTTATCGATGTTCCGTTCTCCGCTTCTGCGGGAGGATCTTTCGACATAGAGTCGACCAGGGTCGTAACCACGCCGTTCTCGCTCCCGGTAATTGCTAGGCCAGTCGAGATCGGCATCGTGGTGTAGACCGGGAAGACGATTTCGCCGACTTGAGTCCACACCAGCATCGTTGAAGTTGAAGCTCCTTGGTTGATGCTGGGGTTGATGTTACCGTCGAGGAGGCTTGAAGTCATAGTAGTAGAACCTTGAGCACCAAGTTCTCCTATCTGGCGCGGCACTGTCGATGGGGGATACCCGTAGACCAGATATAGAGGGTATTGGGGTCCGTTGGTACGAGGATCTACGTAGTACGACATCAGGCAAACAAAAGACAAGGATTATACTGGTTTAGGCCCCTTAGTAGGTAATAGCCCTAATCCAGTTGGTATGGGATTATATGATGGAATCCACAGATTACAAAGGGAATAACAGAACTCGGTGATACCGACGAGACCGCAGTTGAGTTGGCCCGACTAGATCTCCCGGCGACTTGGCTCCTGTAGGCTTCGGCTTTGTAGGCTGTGGGGATGTGTTGGCAGTAATATTCGATGCCTTAGGTCCTGCCTAGGGGGTCCCTTATATATCGTGGGTCAGTTGATCTCCAAGTAGGACTCGGAGATATTGGACCCCTCACGATATGGTAAAGACCCAGTATTATCCGAGTAGAACTCTTTCCGTCCATAGATTATGTTTCTATCACGGGTTAGATGTCCTTAATGTATAAGGAAACTACCCGTATACGTGCGGGTATACCGTATCTGTCAGGGTTATGGATACCACATACCTAATAGTAGTTGACTAAATCTCGGCAGGACCCACCACATACCATGTCTTATATGGAAACTGACTCAGATATGGATAGAGTTCCGGATAAGGGAAGACAACCAGAGTTCTACATGGAAACGACAAGGACTACTCGGATTGTATCCATATTGGTTTCCCTAGTTCTACTTGGACAAGGGGACACCTATGGGTATAAATACAAGGCCCCCTAGGAAGAGAGGGGACACGGAACAACAGAAGCCACAACATACAAGCCAACATACGCCAAGACAAGACACCGGATATCGAGTTCAGAGATAGGTATGGCTAGTCCCCTACAGTGCCTACGGATACCGTCAGGAGAGATATAGCGCTGTCTCTGATCTCGCCGAATGCGGATTCGAGGAGGAAGGCTACCCTGTTGTCGACTACGAGTCAGACCTTCAGACCGCCATGTCGACAACACTTAGATAGGCTACCCCAAATATTGTACTGGTGTGATTATGGTGAATAAGAGCAATAACGGCTTCGGCCAACAGGATGTAGGGTTATTACCTGACAATTCAGGAGCCCGAACCTGTATAAAAATCCTCGTCTATGTCTCTTTTACCTCAATCTCGCATATATCCTGGTACCAACGATCCCCATACTATGCAAATACCAGAATCGCGACATCAAACGTCGACAGTATCAGTATATAACGTACATCGAAGGGTAGAGGGTATACCTAATCTTGACCAAATGAATGCTTACTACAGCGAGAGAAGATTATGTTGGTAGACAATATGTATAATATGTATATTGCATTGTTTACCAAATAAATTTTTTCAATAATAATCATATATGACATTTAGTGTATGGTATTTCTCTATCCCTTATTATTTTTATAACATGTTATTTAGTCAAAATGAGAAAACAATTCATCTATATTATCACCAAATTGTCATCTTGCAAAAATGATACTACCAAAATGATATATATCCTACCATCGTAAACTATATAAACACGGTAATTTATATAAACAAGATAAATTTGAGCTGGTAAATTGATAACCTCAATGTTTTACATACAATAAATACAAAAATTACATAAACAAGGAATTTTACATATGCAAAAAATATTGTATAAAGTAAACATCATGCATGGTACAGTTTGTAGATTTTTTGCATGCGAGTTCACATGTACCCACGATCTACACCCTATATATAGCTTGCACGAATCTTAGGGCAAGTATATTTGGTGCTAACAAAATGTAACATGCATGATGTTTATTCTATATTATATTTTTTACAAGTGTAAAATACCTTGTTTATGTAATTTTTGTATTTCTTGTATGCAAAACTTGTTTATGTAGTTTACCTTGCTTATATAAATTACCTTGTTTATGTAGTTTTTGATGGTAGGATATATATCATTTTGGAAGTATCATTTTTGCAAGATGACAATTTGGTGATATGGTAGATATATTGTTTTCTCATTTTGACTAAATATCATGTTATAAACAACATAAGGGTTAGAGAAATACAATGCACTAGATATATAAATGTCATATATGATTATTATTGAAAAAACCTATTTGATAAAAAATGCAACATATATGTTATACATATTGTGAACCAACCTAATCCTAATATTTTCTCCTATAGTAAGCATTCATTTGGTTATGGTTAGGTACATTTTGCAGCACGAATCTTGGAACACATCAACGGTGTAGATTGTAGGTACATGTGAACCCGAGTGCAAATCTGCATTTTCCTATATATATATATATATATATATATATATATATATATATATATATATATATATATATATATATATATGTGTGTGTGTGTGTGTGTGTGTGTATGTATGTATATATATATGTATATATATGTATGTATATATATATGTATATATATGTATATATGTATACATATATATAAATATATATATACATATATATATATACATACATATATATACATATATATGTATATTATATATTACACCCATATGGGGCACCACGGTATCAAATACACAAATTCACTCAAATTTTTCAAAATTTTCAAATTGTGAGTATATACCTAGTTATAAGAATTCGATTCATACCTATACCTATCAACAAAACATCTCAAATTTAACTTTATTTCACAAATCCATGATTACATAACTAACTAATTATATGTTTGGATGCTATATACCTAGAACCAAAATCTAACAAAAACAAGTCCAAATTCAGTTCAAACTTGGTTTGAACTCGTTAGTAAAGTAGTTAATGTTAATACCTAAACATTTAAAAAAGTTTCATACTCATTTGAATTGGGTATATACTCAATTTCAATCATGGTACCCGGGCACCATGGAGCACCAAACAAATTTACTTTACTATATATATTTTACCCCTACCATGAGCTCCACATATAAACCTTTTAGAGGTAGAATAATAAAAGATGCAACACTATGCCCTGAGTGACCGAGAGTATCATTTGATGAACTTTGTTTTAATTGTAAAAATTTTTGAAAACCAGCAGAATGAAAGTTAGAGAGTGATTGGTGCTCAATGATCCATTCTGTTCCGCAACTACCCAAGGCAAGGAGAAGCTACAAGCCCCATGAGGACTAAGGTAATAAATGTAAAACTATTATTGCCAACTTATTCAAATTCTAAGTAGAAGGATATGTTGTAGACATAGTACTATTGTGAAATAAAATATTGGTAGCAACTCCTGATCAACATTCTAAATTTTATCTTTACTTGGGGGTGTTGTTGACGGTCGCTAAGTACCAATTTTGACCACCAACTTGCATAAATAAAGGGAAAATTAGCATTTCTTACACGTATATCAATAATAAAATAATGTAGTTGTATTATGATTGGAGAATTAACTTAGATGCAGGAATTATAGACTAAAGTGAAGGAGAAATGAGGCCGGCAAGCAAAGAAACACATCTCCGGCGAATCACGTGCAAGTTTATGGATTGAGTGGCCCACAAGTCAGCTAAAACCGACTCAAAGTGGGGCCAACCACCCTGGAACTGCCTTAGGGGCGCACAAGACAGTCACTGGAGAAAGGTGGTTGCGAGGAGGTGGGACCAAGGGTTCGGTTCGGCCGAACCGCCATCAGCTCCACTCATCCTGGCCCTCCACGTTGTGCTCCCACATTGGCCTCCTAATGGCAGTTATGGAGGGTCGGTTGCGATAACCGTCATACAAATCGTCATTAGGTGGTTATAAATGGAGTTCTACTCCTCACTTCACAATACACACTCAACGAGCAATTCCCTCTTCCACTTTGTATTATCTGTAGTTTCTAGTAGGAATAAAGCTTAGGAGATTCGGTATTATAGTCTTCTCGGAGTTCTTGGCATGTCTCTCTTACTTTGTTCTTTGTCTAAGACTATAGTTGAATTAATAGAACTATCTTCTTTATTTATTTATGATCGTGATTTATATACTTCTTTATTGAGTATATGTTCTATAAGTAGTATATAGTTTGCATATCTGCTTCATCCTAGGCTAATCGATCCATGCTACGGTAACAATCCAATGACCTTTATAGGTTGCTCTAGCTCCAACTTGTTCATCCGTAGGGTGAGAGTCCCGAGGGAGTCAGTGATATTATTTATTGCATAAGCATGGTGCTTAGGCTAGATAAATGTCATTGGATGTGGGTGTGCTCTAGTGAAAAATGAGGTAGGCAGCAGGTGGTGACAGCCCTATCCGTCCTTTGTATTCCTTCACGTTCGGGTATGACGTAAGAGTGCGTAAATACCATAACCATGCTAGCAGGGAGTGGTCTCTTGATAATACCTAGGTGCCTAGGTTGTAAGCATGTATATGTTAAGTTTATTCTAGACAAGATTAGAATAGAAGTATAGATGATTCGTAGTTTCCTTAGGCTATTTTCTACTGGATATTCTTATAGAGGTGAATCTCGTGTATGTCTACTACCTCATCAATTACTCCCTTTGTCCCACAAAAAACCAACCTAGTACTGGATGAGAAATTTCCTAGTAAAACGAATCTGGACAAGCTTCTGTCCAAATTTGTTGTACTAGAAAACATCCCATACAATCTTAGACTTGTTTATTTGGGATGGAGGGAGTGTTATTTTAACCCCTGTTTAGACTATGGTGAATTAATTATATATTGATTAAAGCATACTGTCGCCTTCCCTGCGGAAATATAAATATGATACCCTTGATAATACTCATGGGGGAAATGCTATAGCGATATCCTTGCGCTTACAGATTTATTTGTGAGTGTAGGAAATACCAGCAGTCGCCTGAGGGCTGGTCGTCACCTCTGGCTTGGCTTTTCCTATCACTAACTCGCCTGAGACTTCGTGGCCTCGTAGTGGTGGCACTCACCACCGCCACACTCCCCAGCAGCCATCTCCATCCACCATATCCCCTTCACCGGCTGCCACTCTTTGTCTGGCTTGCGAGCAAAATGAACTGGCTTGAGCTAACATCCAAACCGAGCTGAGCTGGCTCGGTATCCACCCCTAAGCAGTAGGAGCAAGGTAGAGCCAAGCTGGCACGATAGTTGGGAAAGGTATGGAGGAGGTGATGGGGGAAGATAAGAAGGGCAATTTTTTTTTTGGGGGGGGGGAGGGAGGCGTGAACAAGACGGAGGTGAGCAAAGCGCGATGACGAAAGTGGAGGGAGAAAGGAATAGGCGGAGATACAGAGCGTGTGCGAGACGAGAGGCCCTTTTGTAATCGGTGTGATATGCCCTAGCTCAATACATCTAAAAAGGAGTAAGATTATTAACATGTATAAAACTAGCATAGTGGTTTGTGCAGATTGCGCGGCTAGTATCGTTATTTATATATTTTTTTTAATATTATAGCATATATATTTTCACATTTATAATTAAAATATATTAAAATGACACATAATGTGTAATATTTATATTGGATTTGTATATACATGATAGTTATTATTTATTTTTAATCCTGAATTGTATTATTATATATGGCCTCTAGACTCCTCTAATATTCCATATTTGTTTAATTCCTAATTTCCTCTATTTATAAATTTTATTCCTATCTAGACTCTAAATCATTGTTTCAATATTTATTGTTTTTAATTGTTGTATTTTTGTTATTTCTAAATTGTATTCCTATCTAAACTCTAGACTGATCTTTCAATGTTTCTTACTTTCTTTATTCTAAATTTACTTTATTTCTAAATTGCATTTCTATATGGACTCTAAACTCTTCTTTTAGTATTTTTTATTTTTTTAATTGCTTATTTCTAAATTTTATTCGACTCTTCTTCCAATATTCCTTAATTTTTAATTTTGTATTTTAGTTATTTTAAATTGTATTCATATATAGAATCTATACTCTTCTCCTAATCTTCCTTATTTTTATTAATTTCGACTTTAATTTATTTCTAAATTTTATTTCTATATGGACTCTAAACTCTACTTTCAGTTTTCTTGTTTTTTTAAAAAATTTTGACTTCCAATTAGTTTTAAATTCATATATAGACTCTAGACACTTCTTCCAATATTCCTTATTTTTTAATTATGAATTTATGTTATCTAATTGTATTTCTATATGGACTCCAAACTTATCTTTTAATATTCTTTATTTTTAAATATAACTAGAAAAGGAGTCTGTGCGTTGCAATGGGTAGAGCCAATTTAATTTGTACATATGTGTCGGTGGGTAAATAGTCACAACCCATTATTTTGTTTATTCATGTGCTTATCCGAACCACTTATTACCAAATAAAAGACTATTTAATTGCAAATCTTTTATATACATGTTCTTAGCGACTCAAAAGCAAATGCTGTAAAATAAAGTACGATAAAAAACCAAAAAGTTGAATTCAAAATTAATTCTAAAATTTAAAATTTGGCTTATAGGAAAAGGCATAAGCCAAACAATGAGGCCTTCAAACTTGAGCTGGATTGGTCATCTAGCTTTATCAAGTCTGGTAGGAATTGATGACGGACGGAATCAACAACTTTGATCATCCTTTATTCCGGTTGGCATGTTTTTTTTTCTGAAAGTAAAACTGATTCTTACGGATTATTGTAACGGTATCTCTAGTAGTACATACGAGCATGTATGGAGACTGATTTGAAATCATGCTAACATGATCTACGCAGCGACGTACGTGATATCGACACGGACTCTGCGAGATTTATTCGCTTGGAATCCACATCACATGGACTCTGTTTCGCAGTCCACATGCAAGTTGTAACTTCACAATGAATGTTAAGTGTGACGGGAATCGAATATGGACGACGTACCATAGTTTTCACAAAAACATCTTCAATTTTTAAATCGTGGGCGAGAGCCACGCAATCCCAATCGGAGATGCGGCAAGCGCAAATCACAGGCACGAGGGCGTCGCGGATCCAATCGGGCATGCGGAAAATCACACGTGCGAGGGCGTTGTGAGCCCAATCGCAGCGGCACGTAAAGGCGTTTGTGGAAAGCGGACTCCTGCGCAGGCCCGATTTGCTACTTGCGGTAAGGGTAAGGGGCGCGTGAAACAGTGTGGGCACAATTAATTCGTGTACTTCTTAGATAAGAGGGACCCTCTGGTGTAAGGAAAAAAAAGAAAGGATTCGACAGAAAGATAAAATTGAAGCTGATTAAAACACGGATGACGTACTAAAATTATGGCGGAACCATCTTCAATTTTATTTTTTTAATAGTAGAGGTAGAGATTTCAATTATCAGTCTAAGTTGTATTCCTATATAGACTCTAGACTCTTCTTCCAATATTTCTTATTTCAATATTTCTTTTTTTAAAAATTTTGAATTTCCATTATTTCTAAATTGTATTTATATTCTTTCAATACTCCTTATTTTTCTAATTCCAAATTTCAATTATTTCTAAATTATATTATATATGGACTTCTATATGGACTCAGACTCTTCTTCTAGTATTCCTTATTCTTTTAATTTAAATTTTAGTTATTTCTAAATTGTATTTCTATATGAACTTTAACATCCACTTTTAGTTTTCTTATTTTTAGTTCCGAATTCATATATGGACTCTATTTTCCTCTTCCAATATTCCTTATTTTTTAATTCCGAATTTCCGCTAGTTTTATATTGTATTTCTACATGTACTCTAACCTCTACTTTTAATGTTCTCATCTTTTTAATTTTGAATTTCAGTTACTTCTAAATTGTATTTCTATATAAACTCACCTTTTCTTTTTCTCCAATTAATATGAGAATTTCTAGGCCGTGAGAGCGAATGCGGATCCTTCGTTATTTTGTTACTTTAATAAATCAATAGATTTCTTGTACATGCTTTCTTTATTTCATACTCGCGTATACCATGGTATCAGCCGTACGTTAGTCCCTAAATACTATGGTCGGTATAACTTGCCAAACAATATTTTTGTCAGTGTTATATATAAAAATACAAGTATAAAAATATAAGTATACAAAAATATACAAATATAAGTACAAGTACACCCTAAACCCTATACTTGTACTTATACTTATATATTTTTGTACTTGTACTTGTACCTATACTTGTACTTGCCTCCACCGGAAATATCATGTACCTATTTGTATACAGAAAGTTATCCCTGATATGTTGTATACAAATTAATGCTCTAGCTCCACCGACCGTTGTGGCCGTCTCTGCACAAGATTATCCAGCTCCCCAGCCTCGGTGGGCATCTCCGCGCAAGCCCCGGCTAGCTCCGCGCGCCGGGCATGTACAAACTTAGATATACATGAACTCTACGCTATATAGATACTAACGTTCTATATAACAGTTGGAGACAATATGCTCTCTACCATTAATGTATCAAAATATTTTTTTTTCTTACTTTTCTTTCCTTTCTTTCACCACCATGCAACAAAATTTACTCTAATAAAAGCTAAGAGTTGACTGTAAGGCGTTGTCATGCATAACAACCATATTTCTCTTGCCTCCTTTACTTGCATAGCAATAGAGAGACCACTAATAAAGACTGTTCTATATGCCTCTATGCTGCATGCATCGACAAACTTCGGGTGAAGAGGCTGTAGAGCTTGGGTTGAGAGAGAAAGGAAATGGGAGAAGGCAGCTAGAGAGAGAGGAAAGAGAAGAGAGATGACAGGTGGGACCTTATTATTTATTTAATTGGATTGCCACCTTAGTGTTCCGTTTCTTGCATGTCACCTAAATAACTATGAATTTTTTTAAAAAAAAATGATAAGATAGGTTAATATGTAATATATCACTTCACAAAAATGCAAGTTCAATTTCGAGCTCTACAAGTTGTAACAAAAATAGCAAATTAGACTGTGAATATACATGTACTATTTAGAGTTTAATTTGTTAATTTTGTTACAAATTGTATAAGTCAAATTTGAACTTGCATGTTTTTGAAGTGATATATTACATATTAATCTATCTTGTATTTTTTTGAAAAAAATTTCATAACCATTTAGTTGACATGGAAA